TCGGTTGGGCACACTTGCTGATATGGCGAAGAGCCGACCCCAATGGCGTTTGTGTTGTGAGTTTCTTTGTCTACCCCTCCCCATTAGATTCTCCCTCCAACTGCGATCCCATGCGAAATGCATAATATAGCACATAACATTATATTACTTGCTTTCTGCATTCTTTGTAGTGCAACTTTTCGATAACTTATCTTTGTGTATTGCGGCACATTAGCTGAGGTGTGTTTCTCACTCCCAGCTAACGTGTAGTGATGATGATGATGAAACAGACTGAAGTTGAAGGATGTCATCAAAAAACTCAAGGACAAGAGGGCGGCTGATGAGCAAGGCCTTCTCGTCTTGTGGGTTTTCAGGTGGTCAGCCGGAGGTCAATATCTGCTCTAGCAGAACCTAAGCTGGTAGCGCACGACCCAAGTTTGGTCGTGTCGAGTTCTTTCGGGAAGCACTCAGGAATGTGCATAGCCTAAGAAACAAGGTACACGAGGTGGGTCTACTTGTATACAAATCTTGTCCCGACATATTGTCACTGAAACGTGGTTGTCTCCGGATATCACGGACAGTGAAGTACGTTCACTTGGCTACGCGTGCTTAGACGTGCTGGCTCCATAGGCCATCAAGGTGGAACCTTTGCTCTTTGTGCAAGTTGTAAACTGGATGTTTTCCAGTCGCTAGATCAAACTGTTGAAGCCGTCGACTGTTGTGTGCGCTTCCTCTGCCCAGTTTACAGTTGTAGTAGTATCGAGGTCCTGAAAGTACCTCTGTTATTGTGTTTATAGCGTGGGTGTATCGCGCCCTACATATCTGGTACGAGGCTAGACGGCCATCCCAATGTGGCCGGTATAACACACGAAATTAAGGTAGGAAAAAATATACTGAGCAGGAGGAAATCGAGCTAATGTTAAAAATAAGGCACCGGGAGATATCCAGCTAGGGAAAATGTGGCCGTGCGTCGAGTGCTTGGACGAGCGACGGTCGCGGGTCGAGCCAGTCCAATTCCCGAAAATGTGTAAGGTTTAAGGACGGATGTTATATTTGCCTCGAACAAACGGGAACTGCGTTCCGAAAAGCAAACTGCCTAATTCCCTAATACATAAAACTATAAATTTAGAAACATTTATAGGCGAACGGGAGAATCTCCAGATCACTACAAGTTAATTCGTTCAGAGGCTGTCAATCGGTGTTTAGTACTGGGGATTTCAACCTCGGAGGTCTTTTGGGCTGACCTAATTTGCAGTTCGGCGATGGGCACCTTCGGTTCGGATCTTACACAGCTAACGTTGCAACTGCTTTTGTATCAGTTCGTGGACCTCCTGACTAGATACATGAGCAACCAGCTTCCGTCTACCTTGGATCTCGTTTGAGAAGTTACCCGAGTTCGTAAGTGATATTACATACGACGGACTTCTAGGGGCCTGTGAGCATGTCAGTATATTCTGTGCTCTCTCTAAGTATCATCACGCCACCGTTGAAGTATGCCTAAATATTTGGCCGGCGAACTTGACGCAATGCGAGACAAAACTTTAGTTCTGCGTCGTGTGATTTCTGTGGCCGACACTGATGAGTCGGTCTTGGGAGAACTTAAGGCATATCATCGAGATCTCCGTTCCCCACATCCCAAGCATTAAGAAAAGGGAGACAGGCGAAGCTCCTATGGATAGAGTGTACGGGTAAATACCTGCTCAGGAAGCGGTCTAAGTGCTGCAGAACTTACCAATCGGCTTCATCAACCAGAACCTACGAAAGCTATCGAGAGGTCAGGAATAAATGTAAGCAACATCTCAGGACTGCTCGCCTTCAGTATGAGAAGGGTTTAGCTGAAGCGGCCGCAACAAATCCTAAGTTCTTTGCTTACGTAAAAAGGCGCAGCAGTACCAGCTCGTCCATACCAGCGTTTCTACGAACGGACGGGACCTGTGTGCATACCGACTATGATAAGGATTGTATACTTAGGGAACAGTATAGTGGTATCTGCTCGTGAGACCCCTCTACCACAGGTTGTGCTGGGCACAAGTCTCGGTGGATTCCTGTTTAACTGAATCTAGCATAACGGAGACTCAAGTCTTCGGACTATTGTAAGAGCTAAATCCTACCAAAGCTCCTGGCTCTGATTCAAGTTATCTGGATCTAATGCATGAATTGGCCGCTGAACTAGTTGGCCTTCTAACATGCGTGTTTACAATATCACTTGACACCTGTGCCATACCTTCGGAATGGAAGGAGACAATCTATCCGATTTTTAAGGGTGGTGAAATTACTCTGCTCGCGAACTACCGGCATATCAGCTTGACAAGCGTAATTGTTAAGTCGTTTGAAAAAAATTAGTGAGGGATTCGGTAAAGAATCACATGAATAAATTCAACAATGTGCTGCTCAACACGGTTTCCGTAAGGGATTTTTGTGCCTGACAAATGTAATTGCAGCTCGTGAAAGCCGGGCTGTGGCAGTAGACAGCGGCCAAGCTATTGACTTCCCGAAAGCTTTTGATATTGTCCCACATCTACGACTCTCGCTAAAGTTGTGATCTTCTGGGATATTTGATGGCGCCCTAAAATGGGTGACTGCTTTCCCAGAAAGGAAAGAACAGTGTATACGCGTGAGGCATAGTCTTTCGCCTTGACAAGCTGTTCTTAGTGGCGCTCCGCAGGGCTCGGTTTTAAGGCTATTGCTTTTCGCGAATTGTCAAGGACCTACCCCAGGAGCTTAAGGTACCATCGTTACTATGGTTGATGACTTCAAGCTGGAATATTGTGGATATCCCTGAAGGCTTTGACGGAATTCTGAGTGCCTTGGATAGACTCTGGGATTGATCAACCTTATGGTTGATGCCTATAAATCAGGCGTAATGTTCTGTCCTCCGCAATGGAGCTGCTAGTCCCCCACGCGCTGTTGTTGGTGGAAGTGAAATTCCTGTTGTCTCTCAGTAGGTTGGTCTAGGCATCGTCCACACCGCAGTGCTTCACTCTGGGGACAATTGGAGGAAGGCTGGTTGTAAATAGTTCCGTATGATGTGGTTTATTCGCCGCTCCTTCGGTGTCTCACAGGCCGATACGTCTGCTCAGATTTTGTGCGATTATACTTAGGATACTGTATCCAGGCTTGTTTCCCATGTCTTTTAAGTGACACAGTGGAACTGGATCGCGTTTTTCCAGTGGGTACAAAGTGCAGGTCAGGTCAGGTACAACGGATGAAAAGGGCTCTCGCCTAACGTGCGTCCTGTTTCTTGTGCCGGTAAGTGAAGAAACAGCCCACGACACTTCGAGAGTGGATTACCTCTTCTTGCTACTGCAAAAGAATGAAGCAAGAACAAGAGTGATCTTTGCTCTTTCATGTGTCACTAACAGAATACACTACATATTCCAGTACAAGTTCAGTATCTGAAAAAGGTCCCCTTATGAAGGCTTCTACAGTCTTACATTCCACGAAATCAGAAGGAAGATTATTTCAAATGTTAACTACTCGGTTTGTAAAAATTTACGCTTTTATGTCCAAACAAGCCCGAAGAATTGGTCCGACATAGGTGAGTAGGAATGACACCACTGAGGCCCTTAATATACTTAAAGGTCACTAGCAACTCTCCTCAATCTGCGCCGTTCCAAGGGAAATAATCCTAAGCTACTTAGACGATCTTCGTATGACTTCCCTCGTTGAGCTTCGATCACCCTGGTTGCAAGTTTCTGAATCGTTTTCAAACATAGTGTCAATGCGGATACGGTGCCCAAGCCTGAACACAGGACTCCAGATGTGACTCAACCACTGCTTTATATATCGGCAAGAAAACTTCTGCGTTAGTGTTACTCAGCGCCCTCCTAAGACGAAACAACTGTCGCGCTTTTATGGCAGCATGGCGACACTGTACCGAAGGCTTAAAAGTGTTCACTATGATGACACCTAGACCACAGGCTTCACCAGTACACAGCAATGATAGAGATCCCGCAGGAGGCTGCAATGCAATTTTGCTACCACTATTGGTCAATCGCTGACATTTGTTGTAGAGATAAATCCAATTAGCTCGACCAATTCACCACAGCGAAGTCTTTACTCAACGTTGCTCGATTGTCCCACTGACTAGCTTTAATTCATCTGCGAAGATATAGCAGGGGTCCTCACGAAGAGGATCCTGGTCGTTTATTAAAATAAGTAACAATAATGGACCCAGTACCGAAACCCGGGGAAAGGTGAATCAGTTAGGAATACAAAGTATATCACAGAATCAGATTGCACTCCCAAAAAATGGAACGCTTCACGATTTTGCGTGTCGTCCTCGCGTGGAAACTAATGAAAAGTCTTCGTTGCGTTAGAGAGGCATTCTCAGCGCGAAGAAAAAAGGACTTGGTTAAGTGACGTCGGGAAAAGCATTAAATGCAGGGTTTCCGTTTGTATGCATGTTTCATACAGAGGTAAATATTACGTTATCCACCGTATGCCCGTGTAGACGCAGCCGTATGACCCTGGTAAGCATTTACCGCAGGTTACTACGGGCAGAGTAACGTTCATGACTTGACTTTCAACATCCGAAAACTGATGCAACAGTTGTGCAAGCATGTGCATGGCGACGTTCACGGAATGGCCCATAGATTTTCGTCAGGTTCCAAGGAAGATACAGGCTTCTGCCTAACGAGTAGAAATGCTTCCTCTTGTTTGATTAGCTTACCAATTACTCTTAACTCATAAACCGGTAGGGACTGCTGGGCAGGAAATGTGGGCAGTAATTAGTTAGCCAGGGTGTGATGCGGTCTTCGCTTTTGCTTTTAAACGAATCAATCTGACCCATAAATCTCTGGTTTAACGATATGCAGAAGGAACACGCAAGTGATTAACGCATCGTTCCCGTCCAAATGAGCTTACACTTAAACCGTATAAGTGGATGCAGCCATTGACAAAACGATTGCCAAAGGGTACTAGTTTATGACCAAATCCATGAACCAGAGCTACGGCTCCGAAAACCAGCAAACGCAGCATAGTAACAAAAAATACGGTGAACAATTGCACTTAGGACAGACCTGTCTGGTGGATATCGAGGCATGATATGCTTTGGAACAGCGTCACCTATCGGTGAATTCGAATTGACTGCGATTAGCACCAATAACTACAAATCAGAAGTTCAAGTTCAAGTTTAAGCGGGACTGGAACGATAGGATTATCCCGTGAGTGTTCCTTCTTCAGCGGGTCGTTGAACCAGAAGTTAGCGAACTTTGAAATACTGATGGACCTAAAACAAAGACCGCATCACACCCTGTCCAACCAATTAATGCCCACGTATCCTGCCCTAGCAGTCCCTGCTGGGTCGGTTACGTGAAGTAAGAAAGAGAAAAAAGTAAACGCAGAAGGCAAAAGAGAAAGTGGTAAGAGCTAAGCAAGTGGAATACCAAGATATTTGAGTCAATAAAAAAAGAACTGAAAAGTGAAGGTGAGTCAGCTAGGAAAAAGGAAAGGTTTGCTGTTGCCACCCAAGAGCATCGAGCTGGCGCGCAAAACCCTTAACTGTAGGTTCCCTAACCACATGATCTGGAAGAGAATTCCAGCGATCTATAACTCGGCGCGATAGACGAGTTTCCGTCCTAATCCTATCAGACCGTGGTTTATGCAATTTCAGTGGGTGACCGCGGAGACTAGGTAACGTAGCGGGACTAAAAAGCCCTGACAAGTCCGGGCCAATCTTACCCGTCAAAATACGATAAGTGAGAATCAGGTCCCCTCTTATCCTTCGGTAGTGCATGGAGTACATACCCAAACTGAGCAAGCGTTCAGGATACGTCTGTCCCCGTAGACCCTGCACTAACCGAGTGCCCACTCGTAACACCCTCTCCAAGTCCATTTTGTCTCGGTTAAGACATGGTGGACAAGCCTGAATACAATATTCCAGGTGGGGTCGGACGAATGCCGAAAATAGCTTCACAAACAAATTAGTCGTTAAGATTCCGAAAGAGCGGCGGATAAACCACATCATACGAAACCCTCGACAAGCAGACTTCTTCCAGTTGTCTCCAGAATGAAGTGCTGATGCATGTACGACTCCTAAATCAACCTGCTGAGTGACAACAGGGAGTTCACCACCGCCGACAACATATCGGGTGGGAGGATTTGCAGCTCCGATTCGGAGAACAGAGCACTTCGCCCTATTTATGGGCATCAACCATAAGATAGACCATTCCCAGAGCCTATCCAAGGCCCGCTGAATTGCCTCAGGACCCCCGGGATATCCACAATATTCCAGAGCTTAAGGTCGTCAGCAAACATTAGTGATGACACCCCTAGCTCTCCCGGCAAGTCATTTACATAGATCGCAAACAACAATGGCCCCAATACCGAGCCCTGCGGAACGCCACTAAGGACAGCTTGCCTGAGCGAAAGGCTACGCCCCACCCGTACGCACTGTTCCCTCCCCTCAAGGAAGGCAGACACCCATTGAAGGGCGCGACCAGATATCCCGTAAGATCTCAACTTTAGTGAGAGCCGAAGATGTGGAACAGTGTCAAAAGCTTTCGAAAAGTCTACGAATAGCACGTCTACAGCGTGGCCACTGTCTACCGCTTCGGCCCAGCTTTCACGAGCTACAAGTAAATTAGTCTGACATGAAAATCCTTTGCGAAATCCATGTTGTGCAACACTGAGAAGATTGAATCGATTCAGGTGGTTCTCCACTGAATCCCTTATCAGCTTCTCGAACAACTTGACTACTACGCTTGTCAAACTGACAGGCCGGTAGTTCGCGGGTAGAGCGCTGTCACCGCCCTTAAAAATCGGACAGATGATCGCCTCCTTCCATTCCGAAGGTAGGCTGCAGCTGTACAGCGATATTAAAAATACGCACGTGAGCGGACCACTCAGCTCAGTGGCCAGTTCATGCAACAGCTTCGGATGAATTGAATCAGGACCGGAAGCTTTAGAGGGATTAATGCCTTGCAGTAGCTCGAAGACCTGAGTCTCCTTTATGCTAAATTCAGCTAAGCAAGAATCCTCTGGAACTCTTGAAACTAATTCAACCTGTGATAAAGAGGTCTCCCGAGCAAAGACCCCAGTATACTGATCACTCAGTATACAAGCCTTGTCATAGTCAGTTTGCGCACGGGTCCCGTCTGCTCGCAATAAAACTGGTATGGACAGTTTGGCTCCGCTGCGTCTTTTAACGTAAGCAAAAACTTCTTGGGATTAGCTGCGGCCGAGTCCGCTAAACCCTGCTCGTATTGGAGACGAGCAGTTCTGAGATGTTGCTTACATTTATTTCTATTCTCTCGATAACTATCATAGGTACTGGCTGATGGAGCTGCTTGGTAGGTTCGCCAGCATTTAGACCGTTTCTTGGGTAGGAACTTGCCTGTGGTGTCTATCCATGGAGGCTGTGCCCTTAACCCTCTTTTTCTCATGTGTGGAATATAGGGAGTGGAAACCTCCGTAAGGTATGCCTTAAATTTATCCCAGGCTAAGTGGACAGAGTCAGCCATCGAGACCTCACAGTTCAGAACTGAAGCCTTAGTTCGCATTGCACTAAAGTCCGCCCGCCAAATATTCGGAAGTAATTCAACAGCGGTCTCTTGGTGCCTTGAAAGAGCACATCGAAAGGATATGTATGCGTGATCGCTAGACCCTAGAGGTGCACCGCATGAAACGTCAGTCACGAAGTCCAGGGACTTAGCGAAAACCAAATCCAACGTAGATGGTATTTGGTTGTCCATATACCTAGTGGGAAAGTCAACGAACTGGTGCAAAGGCACTTGGAGAGTCAGTTCAAGGAAGTCTGCACCGAATGTTCCTAATGCCGAATTGCAAGAAAGATCGGCCCAAGCAGACTTCCGGGAGGCTGAAATCCCCTAGAACTAAACACTTCTTCGCGGACTGAGTGCGAATGAACTCAAGTATTCCTCTGGAAGAAATTCCAGGACTCCTGTATATCACTACAACTGTAAACTGGGTAGAGGAAGTGCACAAAACAGCCGATAGGGCTTCAACAGTCTGATCCGACGACTGGAATGTGCAAGTCCTCAACACATCTAAGTTACAGCTCACATACAGTACAACGCCTCCGCCTTGGCGACCAACGTAGCGATCAGTTCTAAGCAGCGCGTAGCCAGGTAAATATACCTCACCGTCCGTGATATCCGGAGACAACCACGTCTTAGTGAAAGCAAGTATGTCGGGACGAGATTCGTCTACAAGTAGACCCAACTCGTGCACCTTGTTCCTTAGGCTACGCATGTTGCTAAGTACTACCTCAAGCAAGTCGGCACGACCATCCCTGAGTCGAATGCCATCAGGATTGGTTCTGATAGGGCGGAAAGTAACTTCCGGCTGACCACCTGAAAACCCACCAGACGGAGGCGTTGCTCACCAGCCGCCCGTCTAGTTTTGAGGTCTTTGATAGCCTCCTTTAACTTCAACGTATCTGCCAGCGGTAGATCCGGCTGAACGCTGAAACCATTACCCTTAATTTTGAAAGCAAATCGCAGTAACGATTTGCGTTCCTCCGGGGTACAAAGGACTACGCGAAGTAGTCGGGGTCGTGGATTTGGCGCAGCGACGGGAACGTTCCCCAATCTGGTCAGCTTTCTGACAGTGACACCAGGGAAACCAGGTGGAAGCAGCTTGCTGACACACAGTTTCAGGCACTTGATGTCATCCAAGATGCGTTCCCTTGGCAGAACGGCCTCACATTCAGTAACGTTACGGAATATAACGCTACTATCAGTAAAAGAGTCGGCACGACGGGGAGTGTTTACCCCACGTGCCTTGGATTCGACACCTGTACCAGCTGTTTTCACCAATGGCGGTGGGACTGTCCCTGGCTTCCCAAAAGATGCGGAAGCAACGGTAGCGTACGTTTTCCGCTCTATTGCCGGCGTCTTACTGGTTCCTGGGTCTTCAAGCCCCTTCGAAGTTTTACGAGCAGATCTTGTCCGCTTCTTCTTTTGGCTCACTGGAGCAGGGGCCGTTGACTTTGTAACGCATTGGGCAGTTACCAGAATTTCGCCAGAACAGGCTGGTTCACTGGCGGCCGAGACAGTCAGCCTCTGTGGAAAGTTCTGTGTGCAATCGTCAGAAACAAGAAATATATCTGTTATTCTGCTCAGATTGTAGTAGAAAGAAGGTACCTTTTCCAAATGGTTATGATCAAGCACGGTCAATTTACAGTACGGGTGGGACTGGAACGATAGGAGAATCCCTTTAGTAGTTCAAATGCCAGTGGGACTTGATCAGTAGGATAAATCCCTGTGAATGTTCATTCCGTAGTACGTCGTTGATCCTAGGTATTATTCGTCCGTGATAATTGGAATCCAGAAGAGTAAGAACAGCGCGCGCAAATCCCACCACGGTCTGTAGTACAGCTGAAACCGCAATGTATTGTTTTAATTGACAGCCACGACTAGTGTCTCCCTTGCTTATTTTACAGGGCTTGGCGGACCGCATGCACAATGAACGAAGGGAATCAAAAGCCAAGCCCCAGTACCTGTTCCTTGTAAACTCGTTGTTTATATACTTGCTTGCCGTTTATCACGCTATGCGCATGCCGCGCTGTTGAATACATCTCTCTCAGTCCAACTTGCTTGTTCTCGTGGTCGACTCAGTAGCGCATCGTCTTCTTGCATGATTGTCGTTTCGCACGTGTTACTGGGTTAGTTACTCGGTCGCTGATTCTCACATGCCGTTCGTTTGTAGCCGGGACATTTCGTACGTGTCTCGAACTTGCCATTCGGAATATATTACAGTCCACCATGTAATACCCAATCTACCTGGTTTGGCAGTCCCTGCCGCACCGGTCACGTGAACTAAGAAGGAGAAATACGAAAGTAAGAGCGTCAAGGAAAAACCTAATAGATTTAATAATTCAGTAAGACGAAAAGGCTAGGACGTGGGCAATATGCGACAGCGTTTGTAAGGGAAACCTCTTTGAAAGGCGTGGAGCTGGTTTGCAGGACCCCAGGCTGGCTAGCCGAACAACCTCCTCGTGGTGCCAGCTGGGTGGTTCGGGTTTAACCTGTTCCAGCAAATAGTTCGGTGGCAGTGTTCCAGGACGTGGTGGGTTTTCGC